ATAGGAAGAAACTTTTCAAATAGGAAGGGGCACAAGGGAGGAGGAGGAAGGAAAGGAATGAAGGGAAAAGAGAAAATGAGAAAATAAAGACAAATTTGCAACAAAACTCTTGTAAAGAAGGGGAAGAGGGATAGAAGGGCGGGGGGAGTAATGGGAAACAAATAAGAATGAAGATGTATCATGTACAGGTACAAATTCCATGTGATGAATGTGATCATTATGTGTATCTAAACTGTACCAATGCTCTTAATTAATCATAAAAATGAAATGGGTGTGGGAAAGGAACAGACACTTCACAGAAGAAGACATGCAAATAAACAACAGATATATGAAAAAATATTCAGCCTTTCTGACCATTAGAGATATGTAAATTCATACAATACTAAGAGTCCATCTTATTCCAGAAAGAATGAAAATCATTAGGAAATCAAACCATAACATGTGCTGCCATATGTGTGACCAAAATTGGTCCTTTCTTGTTAGTGAGGATGTGGACTCGTACAAGCTTTGTGGAAATCACTATAGAGGTTTCTCAAAGAACCGAAATTAAAATTTCCATATGACCTAGGCATCTCTTTTCTAAGTATCTTCCCCAAAGGCCTTCCATCATCATACTATAGCACAAATGTTACAGCAGCACAATTCATAATAGCGAAATCCTTGAAGCAGCCTGTATATTCATCAGCAGATGACTGGATAAAAAAGTTGTGGTCTGTACATATAACGGAATAGTACCTGGGTATAAAGAATGACAAATTTGAGACATGTAGGAGAATGGATGCACTTGGAAAATATAATATTGAGTGAAACAAACCAGATACGCAAGTTTAAATACAGTATGGCAAATCTTTAGTGGTACATATCATGATATTAATTAATTTTAATGTGTTTACTGCTTTGTGCTATTTCCATTTCTTGTATTATTCACTTATTGTCTATTACATCATTTTCCTGTGACACTTATTGCCATCAGAATTCATTTGTATTTATATATATGAAGTTGGCATGCTTTGTGAAATAGAATGTTATTCTTTCACAGGAAAAAAATAAATACAATATGGTATCTCTCATCTGTGTGAGGCACAGTACACACAAAGAAAATGATATAGGATTGACAGAAAGGACAAGGGGTTGGATCTCTTACAATAGGGAAGCAATCCAAGGGAATTAGGACAAAGAATGAGGAAGAGGAAATAGGGAGCTAAGAAGAATAATGATATGCCATGCACACTAACCCTATAACCTCATTTAATGTAAACACTATACGAGATGACATGAGGTAAGACAAATAATGTAAACAAGTATCAAAAAGAGAATAGAGGAAACTAAGAAGAAGGGGAAGAGAAAGCAGTATTGTAATTTTTCTAGTTGTGATACAGGGGAAATAACAACTGCCAACCTGCTAAATGTCAGATACAAATTCCTATTTTCCAAAATAAAAAATGAATTCTAAGGAACAACGGAGGTTAAGAGTAAGAGAAGTTTATTGAGAGAGAGAGCTCCTGAGAGACAGGACGGAACTCAGAAGCAGGTCTCCAATGAGCCCACTTCTCAAAGTTTTATAGAACAAAATCACAGGGTGAATACAAAATCATGAGGTAGGTACAACATGGGTCAAAACTATGATCAACTCATAAGATTACACCACCCCCCATCAAGGGAGTTGTTTTTTTAAAATTGTCTGGACACTGGTCTCTTATTACAATAAATTTAAAAGGAAAATATAGGCTGGGGTTGTAGCTCAACGATACAGTGCTTATCTAGCAAGCATAAGGCCAAGGGTTGAAATGCAGTACTAAAAATGAAGAGAGATAATGAAAAAATAGAACCAAAAAAAAAGGCATGTAGTGTGGGGTGGTGTAAGGGGCCTGAGAGAAATGTGTCAAACCCAAGGTTTCTGAGGAGATAAAGTCTGTCCTTTAGTGCAGGTGCATGACAGACTTTGTTATAATCATAACAAATCAACATGGGTGACCACGTACTTACCACGTGGCTATGCGAGGTCCCGCAGCTGTTTTTCCTAAAGTGTTTCAGAAAAGTTGGTAAAGGGGTGGAGGATTTAGCTCAGTGGTGCCCCACCTGCCTGGAAAGTACAAGGTCCTGAGTTTGATCCCTGGTACTGGGAAAAAAAAAAAAAAAAAGCTGATAAAAAAGGACACAGCTCATGAGCTCAACAGCTGCAGCTCCAACTCTCATGATCTGATGCAGCCTTATGTTGTAAAATTAAAGTTTGCTTCCTGCTTTCTGGTGATGTCTGCTCCATGTGTTCTCTTTTCTTTGGGAACTTCACCTGACTCGACTCCCTTTCATCCCATGGCACGGAGAGGTAGGAATACACATTTCTTTCTATTGAAACTATACCACTCTCTGACTCAGAACTCTTCTGTTGCCTGGAGGGCTGGCCCCCTAGATATAATCATTTTGCTTTTAGACCTCCTACATTCACTGCTTCAAATGGCCCCTTTTGTAAATATCTTTCTGATTTACCCTATTTACAATACGCAGTTCTACCTGCAGCCTGGGATCCTTCTCTTTTCCTATTTTTCTCCATAGCAAATATCCTCCTCGAAAAGCTAAATTCGTGTTTCTCTAAAAAGAAAAGTGTTGTACTGATAAAGACAAGCCTCATAATTAAATGGAAATTAATTTGTGGACTCTACCCTCCCTTGGAGGTTATAGAAAGATGACACATCAAATCTCAAGAACTACTGAAGATACAGAGGCTGACCTTTGGGAACCTACAGAAGAGAAAGAGGCTTATTTCATCCATGTACTGTCACCCTGTGTCTTAAATCTCTCAAATCACAGAGCTGGTCAGCTCCAGTATTGTAAGTTAATAAGATATCTTGTAGTCAGACAGGGCCAGCCCTAGAGGAGCCCACACTGAGAACAATCCAGAAGCCAACAGGGTGGACAATCAAGACACATTCAACGAAGGCCCACATTCTAAAAGAAGACAAACTACTAGCCACCCCCCACACACTTGCTTCCCCTAGGGATAAGTAGTGAGGAGCCAGAGTTTTTCCATTTTTACTAAGGCCCAAGTCCTTCCATTTTAACTAATTTAGAATAAACTTCAGTAACACCACTCTTCCCCTCCCTAACCATTATTTAGATTGTTCCATCAGATAAACGGGAAATAGATGAATAAGACCCATTCCCCTCTGCAGGAGCCATCTGGTCTATTAGAACAAAGAAGCAGGATTTCTGCTAAGATAAGAACAGGCTGTGGTAATCAGTTGAGTAAGGCAAATTCCATTCCACAGACTTCATCTGCACACATACTAACCAATAAGTTTAAAGTATAGTCATATATGTGCACCAATAGAATGTTAGAGATATAGACCAATAGAAATAGTAGAAATAATGAAGAAAATAGCCAATAAGAAAGTTAAGATTTTCAAACCACCCTAACCCTATATAACCCTGTTATAATCATGATTCTGGGCTCTTGCTTCCCTGATGGACAAGAGTCCAGGTTCGAACCTGAAATAAACTCTTGTACTTGCAGCGGATTCGTTTCTCTGGTGGTCCTTGGGGAAACTGAGATCTGGGTAAAACAAGTAGCACTGACTGACATTCTAAGTAGGTATCAATCACCTGGCTAGGAGACCAAGATCTTAACACACCTCTTCCAGGAAAGGTCCCTGGCCCATCCCTTACCTGAAATCCTTGTTCATTCCTTGAATGCTTGCTATGTGACTTGCTTCCCCATCAGATCACCGTTTAATCAATAGGTCCTAAGTGACTGTACTTGTTGGAATCCTATTGGTTGATCATAATTTTTGTCCCCTCTCATGTCCACCTTGTGATCTTTCATTGGACCAGTATTACCTAAGTGATTGTACTTGTAAGATTTGAATAAGCTAAAGTGACTCCATGCTAATAGGCCAGACTGTGCTTCTTCTCATGCTAATTGCTATCTTGGCTAACAGCCCCCACAGGGGCAGATGGTATGACAAAAGGTGACCATAAAACATTTCCTGCTTGAGATAAGCAATGTGTTTGCAGTCTCTTCTGTGAATTCCCTGACTCTTTGATTAGAAAAACCTTATAAAAAGTACCTCAGCCCCTCAGCGGTTGCCTCTCTGAGCTACCTGGCTCCTGGAGTGCCATCTGGCCAGACTAATAAAGGTCTATTTACCATCTAGCCTGGTGTGTTCCCTCCTGGGTTTCTTGTTTCTCTGTCGAGCTCCTAGAGCCTCGCTGGGTGTTAGGGCCCAGGATCGTGGAGGCCTTTTTGGCTGTTCACGGATTTCGGAAGGCCCTGGGTCTTGCCTTCGGAGCCATCGTTGGGCTATAGGACTCAGCTCCGTGGAGGCCCTTTCGGCTGTTCACGCTCCGTGGAGTGGAAGTGAGACTTTAAGTCTTACAGTAATATGACTTAGTTTTGTCCCACCTTGAACCCACCTCACCTTGTGGCTTTGTCCCATGAGACACCTCTTAGAAGCAGGGTGAGTGGGTAACCCACTTTCCGGGTGTCCCTTCCTGTCCCTCTCAGACAGGAGCTCTCTCTCCCTCAATAAATTCTCCCTACGTTAACCTCCGTTGTCACTAGAATTCATTCTAAGATTTTAGAGAACGCGAACTAGCATTTCGGATACCTAGCAGGTTTGGAAGTTACATCTATTCCCCATTATCACCAGAACTGTGTCCAAATGACTACCGTCAGAGTATTAAGCAAACTTAGTTCCACTGCCATGGAATTTCGTGCAGTGGAAGAGGCTATGTAGATCTCGTGTTGTTAACGCTGCGCACAGAAATAAAAAGAGAAAGATCCCAGCAAGCCCAAAGCGGGTTGGGCACAAAGCCGGAACTCAGGAGCAGACCTCTGCTTCCGCGCCAGCTCCTTCCCGCCTCCGCTGCAGTAGCAAGTGTTCCCCTTCCTATCAGCGGCCAGGACTCGGACTGGGGGGAAGGGTCAGGGAACCGACCAATGGGATCACTACCGCGGACATCCGGGGAAGTCTCGTGTCCACCGAGGAAACTGGTTGGGGGAGGGGGAGGATTGCGCATCGCACCCAAAAGTAGAGGGATTTGTTTCCATCCGGGAGATTTTAGGAACGGACCAGGAGCAAAAGGGTGAGTTCTTGTCAGTGTTTAGTAGGCGGGGTTGGGAGGGGACCCAAATCCCTGGCACTTGACGAGTTTAACGTTCATGTGGTTCCACTGCTGATATTCATCACGTAGGTACCAGGGCCATCCCCTGGGAATCCAACATGGAATTTATGATCCAGTCAGCCTCTTTCCCCGAGAAGGAAAGTGTAGTGAGGAGAACTCATAAGCAGCCCAGCACCTCTGCTCGCCTGTGGTCCCCACTACTCGGGAGGCTGAGCAGGAGAATCGCTTGAGGCGGGGGTTCAGCGCCAGCGTGGGAAAACCAGCGAAACCTGTCTTTTAAAAACAGCACGGATGGACTAAAGATTCGTTAGAGATGTGCTCGGTCCTCAGAGGAGCTCATACAATAGAGCCCCGAACTCCAGGCTGTGGCAAACAGACAGCGAGGGAGGGAAGGAGGAATGAACCAGGATAAGAAAGAGATGAAGGGAGAGGATCGACCCGTTGAAGAGCTTGCGGAGTTGAACTTGAGAGAGGACCGTTGCAGAGCTAGCAGAAGAAGCAAGGACTCGAGATGTAACGTTAAGGCTCATTGTGAGGTCCTCAGATTGAGAACATCTGCGTTACGTTGTGAAAGGAGCTCAGCCACCACCAGCGCACACTAGCTAATCACTGCAAGTGCCTGTCGGCTGGGTGTCACTTGTCACTCACTGTACACACTGCTGTAGAGGGACTGCAGGAAGGCGAGGAAGAAGGATGGGACTCTGTGTGTGCCTGGGCCTGGGGCGGGGTGGGTTTGGCTTGAATGTGAGGATCTGTCCAGGATCCATTCGTCATGGATCAGGTCTCTGCCCAGTTTTCAGCAGGGATAAGCATTGCTGTGAAGGACCTTGTTACAGAGTCGTAGGATGCGAACTGTGGCTGTGATGAGAGATCCCAGGGTTAGGGGCAGAGAGGCAGAGACTCCATTCTCCTAGCACGTGGGTGCAGGGGACTTGGGAAGACTTGAGAGATTTCTGAGTGTGTCTGATGAGAGATCCTGAGGGAACAGGAAAAGCAGTGGCAGGCTTCCCCCCAGGGGAGGAATCCCACACACTTTTTGAGATCCTGTTGGTTGATTCCCCAGCGAAGAGACCTAGGCCCTGTGCTCTGTCACATTCTAGCTCCGTGACCCTGGAGTGCACAATTGTTAAACTTCCAGGAGCCAGTCAGTGAGGGGCACCCATTTCTTTTTACCAGAGCTGTGGCAGGGTCTAGTCAGTTTCTGTTGGATGAGACTCGAGTCTGAGAGCTGAAGTTGCGGTGGACACTCTTTGCTCTGTGGTATCAGGTTAGAAGACATTGGTACAGGTTCCAGAGTCTAAATGGAGGCCTGGAATGTTTATTCATTTAATTTATTTAATGGACAACTTTTCCTCTACTTACAGGCCTCTCTTTTCTGGCTCTGGCCTTTTTTCATCTCAGCAGTCTAAATCTATACAGTTGGGTCAGGGAGCCTTTGCTGAAAGTGCTGTGTGGACATACAGGATTTCTGCCATGCATGAGTCTTGGAGGGAACAGAGTTAGGAGTATGATGTCTGGGTGCCATAGGTTCCTTCCCAACATACTAGTATGCTCGGAGAGTAGGTAACAGGGCAGTTAGGGTGGAAGGGCATGGACTATAAATCAGTGCTTCCTATAACTTACTCTGTTCATCCTCACCCAGCCATAGAAGACAAGTGTTATTTTCCTTGTTGTTCAGATGAAGACACAGGTTCAGAGGGCTTAAGTGACTTACCCAGGTTCCCCTCCTAGGTAAGGGAGAAAACCGAGTTTTAGTGAGGTGCTTTTGACCATCACAATCTCTCAGTCGTGGTAGCCTGCTTTGTTTTGGATGACAACAGACAAACCCACACCAAGCAGGGTCTGTGTGGTTCTGGAAGGCTGGGAGGTGTGTGGTCACTGCCGCGGCTTCTTTTGGAGCATTGAGATTGGATGCTGAAGTGTCCACATGGCTCCTTATCACATCAGCAAATACAGGATAGTGGCAAGGTTCTGAGTTTGGTCCCCAGTACCAAAAAACAAACAAAAGAAAACAAACACAAAAAACCCACCACTCAATCCTGACTTCAGGTTTTTACACTTGATCTTAGCTAAAAGGCTGAGAAGCGATTCAGGTTCTTGTGTACAGTGTCACCCTCCTTGTTTCCGATGGCCCCTTCTCAGATAACCCTGGAAGCATTATGTGGTCACATATTTGCAGTGTGACCTGGATAATATCTGCAAATGTTTCCTGTGTACATGTGGCTCCTGCTTGTGGGTGGCTGAAAAGGGACAGGTGACGGGCACTATGTTTGCTGTGTCGTTGAAGAATGTTCCCCCAAGGAAGAAGCACTTGTGGCCATTTTACCTCCTAGTATCCAAGATCACTGAGGAGTTAGGATAGCAAACCTGTGGTCAGGACTGTGGGACCAGGGCTATGGTGCAATGCTTGACACCAGCATGTTGCTCAAGAGTTCCCTGGCCCTTTACCTGGATGTGAATGTCCAGGAGACAGGCCATTCATTCACCTCCAGGACCTCCAGGCTTGTGGCTATTCATTTAATTCATTTAATGGGCCACTTTTCTTCTACTTACGAAGTTGGCCTGTGATTTGTTGCCTTCTGTTTTGTTCAGGGTCCAATTGCCTCTTCTGCAGTAGCAAGGCACCATAATGGCTAGGAGGCCAAGGAAGGGGCATGATGGAAATGATGTCATAGTGAGGTGACAGAGGTATCCTGGACACCAGGTAGGACATCCCAGATTCCTACCCTATACTAGTGGAAGCTCCCTCCAGGGACACATCCTATGCTCTTGGTATCCACATCCAACCCTGCAGCCTTGCTTTCCCCTGCTCCAGCCCTGGCACTCCCCAGTCACCCAAACCTGGAATTTTTTGCTAATTCTTCTGTAAATCTACTCCTGTTCTCTTGGCCGGCATGTTGTCTTCCAACTCTCTTTCATCCATACCTCTGTGGGTTCAGCACTGCAGTTTCCTGGACAGGGGAAAGGAGAATTTGATTGGAAAGATAACTGGTGAGTAGGAAGGAAGTGGCTTATCCTGTGCATTGTGACCAACATAGAGATTGAGTCCTTTGCTCCTGACAGCGTGTTCCTCATTACAATTGTGTATGTTGCCTCCGCAATGATTGACAACAACAGTGGGCAGAAATCTTATTGTGTTCCCGAGATTGATAGTGTTATGTGTGCTCATACTGGACATCTCTCTCTGTATACAACATAGATGCCGACTTCCAAGAGGAGGAGATTGTCAGAAACTGTCCTCCTGCTTTGAGGCCGCTAAGCTATGTCCCTCTGACTGGCTCCTCCCTGTTCCTCCTCCCTGACCAAATGCACAGTCTGCTGGTGGGGCTGTTCCAGTTCCTCCTGGAGGGTCAGAGGAGAGGCCCAAAGGTGTGCAGATGTACCCTCCATTCCTGTGCCTTGGTGAAGGGAATGACTAGTCATGGAAGGGGCTAAGGGTTACAGGAAAGTCAAGTGGAATCTGACTGCAACACTCCATGTGAGAAGGAGAAAATTCTCCTGTAATGTCTCAGTCAACACATGCAAATCCAAAGCAGCTGGTCCTGACAAACTAAACCGCCTGTCTTTTCCCAAAATATCCAAGGTAGTCAAATCTTGGGGCTGTTGCAAAGCATGAGAGTTGGTCACATGCAAAATACCTCACTGAAAAGTGCCTCAATATTAGCAACAGACTCTTTAGACTAGAAGTGTGTACAAAACTCAACACAAAACAGTTGAAATAAATGAAAACCACAAAAAACATGGGAAGAAAATACAACAAAACAGCTCTTTAAACCACGTCCCCTGAAGCCAATCTGGGAAACACCAAAGGGCAGAATAGTATACCACACACCCAAATTACTCAAAAGCATAGTAGAGGAGGTTCGAAAACAGTTCAAAGTGATAGTCTGATTAGAGAAGATATAACTAAACATGTAATGGAAGTAATAACTGAAAGGATGCAGGAGCTCTCAGATGAAATTAAGAGAAAACTAAAAGAGCTAAACAAAGTGAAAAAACTTTAACGACCAGTTCACCGAAGTAGAGATCTTGAAATGGTTTCAGTCACAAATCCAGAAGATTGTGTGGGCACCAGGATGAACCAATGTGAGAGAATTTCAGAACTAGAAGACAATGGTGTGTTTAAATATGGACTACTTAAAGAAACTAAAAACATCAAGAAAAAGTGAAAACTTGATCCAGCAGCTGCTAGATGATGCAAAGAAGACTAAGCTAAGCATAATTGGAATAAGTGAAAAATCAGAAGACAGTTTGTAAAGGTTTTATTTCCATGACAATGTTTTCAACTCCTTTTGAGCCTTTGAATGAAGAAAAATAAAAGTATGCCATTCTCTGGGGAAAAGTTTATACAAGTCCCCAAGTCTCTTAGAGTATTTTTGAGCCAATTTAGAACAACACTCTTAAGAGTAGCCAGGTGTTCAGTGTTTTGAGTTCAGAGCTGAAATGCTCCCTCAGCAAATGCACCCTTACTGGAGGGGATTTGGTGCTGGAAGAAAAAGGTTTTAGATTAATAGGTCACACGCATTTGGCTCCTTAGTCTCAGGGTTATACATCAAAGCCCAAATACCAGTCTCGAGTGTGCTGTGGGATAAGATGGGGAAGGGACACTATTCGGGTGACAATGTTCCTCCCTGTTCTCCTTAAGCCTGGGCACACTCAGCTGTAACTGCAGTGGCAATGTCTTTAGGCCTTCAAATTCTAAACTATAGGAACTGCTGTAAGCCGTGAGTCTCTTTTTAAAGAAGAGCAAGCCCAGTGGTTCACCAGCTCCATATAACCCAGCCGGTTCTCCCGGGAAATGAGCCTTCCTCAGGGGTCACAATTAATTCATTGAACACCCGTCAAACACCTTCCTGTTGGATCAGCCTGCCCTACTGTGAAAGTACAACAGTGGCTGCTGGCTTGGAGCCAGCTACCTAGGTTTGCATTCCCAGTTCTCATGTGGGACTTGGGGTAGGAGGCCTCAGCTTTCTGGGTCTCATTTTTTTTATTCATGAAGTGGGAACATTAATACCAACTTCAGCCTTTGTTTATTGCAACTATTAAATTTTGCAGAATAGAAAAAATATTTTCTTGCTGGGCATCCAATAATTTCCTGAAAAGGTGTTTCTTCTATTTTTATAACAAGCGGTAGTGCTGAAACTGAAAGGAAAATAGGACATATTGGTAGTGAAAAACTAAAACAGTGCGGCTACTTGGAAAAACTGGCATTTCCTCAAAATATTAGCTTAGAATTACTCTATGAGCTAGCATTTCACTTAAAGTTTTAAACCAAAAGAATTTAATAGATATTCAAATGCATGTACATAAATGATCATGGCACTTTTAGCAGCAATATCCAGAAATTAGAAACAACCCAAATGTCTGTCAATGAAAGAATGTGTAAGTAAATTTTGTATTTATGTAAATGGAATATTATACAGTCTCAAAAAATGATGAAGTATGGCAACATTCTAAATATGTACTTTTTGAAAGCTAGGGTTGCTATAGCCCACCCCATACAGGGCCAGTTTAGAGGGTTGGTCCCAAATAATCTGTGAGAAAAGACTCTAGGGCTGGTCACTTACGGTATCAAGATGTCTTCTTTTGCTGCCTTTGCCTCTCCACAGATGTTGAATCTGTTGAGCAAGCAGCATTCCTCTGCCATAAGAGCAGCCCACCAAGATCATAAAATAGCTGCTAAATAAAGAAGCAGAGAGGCAAAGCCTTACCTTCCTGGTTTATGCACCAGTTAATGTAACACCTAGGGAGGGTTGTACACTGTGCCATGCTCTGCCACACTGTAATGTCCAGGGTGGACAGCAAGCCACTGCTGTGCTGCATTGTGCCACTGCTCTGCCCGAATATGCAGCTCCCAGTGATCCTAAACCCGTAAAGAACTAAAAAAGCAGTTTAAAAGACAGTTTACTTGAAGATAGGGTAGGAAAAAAAGAGAGATGACAGAAAGCTAGTCTGGCCAAGTAGGGAGAATTTGGAAGTGAATTGCTCCTGTTTACCTGAACTTTGGAAATACATTGTCTTCTGAAACAAGAATGACATGCAGCATGTCACTTAATTTGAAAATCAGTGGAAAATTTTCACAAAATTCAGACGCCCTAAATTAACACTGTTTCAGTACCTTCCTAATTCTTTTTCCATTACCACAAATCATAGCAATCTACCTCTGCCTCCTGTCTGCCCCATAATAAGCTCAACCAGAGAGTCATGGAGCGAGGGGCAGGCTCAGAATACGAGCACTGAGGGTCTTACTATGTTTGCAAATCTATTAGTAAAGACTTAAATTGACACTTTTTGCTGCCTACCAGCACCCGTGCAACATTTCACCCTGAAGGGACAACCTTGTTGTGGGCAGTGTTCACATGAGTTGCCCCTCAGCTCCCTGGTGTACTGTTGTTCCTTCCATGAGGGTAGTGGTACCCTAAGTCTCCCAGCAGTGCTCCACCAGTACAGGGATACTCATAGACTTGGGCTCCAAGAGTACATCTCTTCCTCTTTGGGGTGTCAGTATTCTGGGACTACCCAGGGCTATCCTCTGACGGTGGTGACTATGCCTCCTACATCTGCTGCCCTTTCTGCCAAGCACAGGATCTGGTACCTGATGGACACTCAGCCTTTCCTGCTGAATGAAGAAACCAGTTCTGACTAGAAAACCAAGATTCTGTAGGGAGCCCCTCAGAAATACAGATGTCACGGTGAAGCCCAGGAAAGAGGAAAATCCTGAATGTAACTAGAGAGGTTTAGGGGCTCCCAGGAATCACCAAGTAAACAGGGAGACAGAGGACAAGGACAGTGCACAAGCTTCTCACCCTTCAGCATGGCTTGGATTTCCAGATGGTTAATACTTCACAGACTCATTTGGAGCACTCTGTACCCTAGAGCCCTCTGCTCTCCTTAAGATTCTTAGTTCAACTTGTAGCTTAAGAGTCAGGGCTTGGAAGACATTATTAAAATCCACATAATGCAATATTACCAGTACACTCACCACCCAGATTTGCTATTAAACATTACCAGTGGGTGTGAGCACATGTCACAGATCCTAAGTGCTCAGCAGCCTCCACCAGGGACTCTTGAGTTCCAGCTGCCAAGTGCTCCAGATGAGGTAGCTGGATGCGGCACCTACAGCCCTGGCCTTTGCATTTCTGGCCTCTTCCCTGTGTCCTCCTAGAAGCTCTTGTCATGATTCTGGCTGGCATCTTTGATCCTTTCCTCGTCCTCATCCCCCTTTCAAACATTCTAATTCTTGCCTTTGCCCCCATATACACCTGGAGATGTTCCAGGTCCCATCACGTCAATTGCTTCCACTCCTTCCAGGCTTCGCTTTGACTCTTGCTGACCCAGTTGCTCTGTGGTGATCACTGATGTAGGTTCTGCCTTCATGCCATGCTCACCATTAATGCAGGGTACTGGAGAAACAATGCTTAGGAATAAGTGCTTTTTCCTTGGGCAGGCTGCGCTTTTGATGATTTCTTTAGGATCATTTTAGTTCATATTAGACCTCCTTGGCCAGGTGCTCTTGTTCACAAGCTGCATAACTGCCTCTGGGGGTCCCTGTCCAGCTCAGATGCTGTACTCATCTCTGGGGGAACCTGCGACTATTCCTGCCTCTCTGACCTACTCTCCATGTACAGACCAAGTGATGATGCAGCAAAAGGGTAAATCCTCTCCATGGAGTTGTGAGTGGCACTACCAATCTGCTTGTAGCCTGGAGGGAATAGAAGGAAGTCTCGTTTTTTGCTTCTTTGGAAGAGCTCCAGTGAACTTTATCGCTGCCCTTGGACGTTTATCTCCAGATCTCCAGCAGACTCTTCAGTCTTCCAGTGCAGACCCTTCAACATCCAGATAGCGACTCACAGGGGACTCTGCAGTGAGCTCCAGGCTTTTGATATTTGACTGGATCCTTTGCTCTCCAGCACACAAAGCCCACCATGTAAATTTTTTATGTACACACACACTTAGATATACACACTATACACGAATATATTAAATATATTTGCCTAGTGAACCCTAACTCATACAGGGTACGTGGGCAGAGGTAAGATTATTTATGGAAGGCAAGCATTCTCTTCCATAGAGAACTCCATGGAGAGTGATTTACCCTTTTGTTTAGCTGACTCAGCCTTATTATATGATAGCACTGGTTCTGAGGCACCAAAACACCTGCCTAATGTCCTGGTGCCTATTGGCCAGACAGCTGCAGTGCTGGGGACTGCAAAGGACACCTGTAGGACAGTAGGTGTTTCCACACAGTTGCTGAAGAGGTGAGTGGAAGGGAGGAGGAGGGCAGATGGGTTTGAGACATCATCCATGATCCATCTTGGACAGGTACAGCTTTGCCAGGGAGAAGTACAGATGTGACAGACATTGTTTTTGAGGAAGGAACCTGGACTCTGCCTGTTGTTGAATGAGCTCAGAATGACAGGCACAGTCTAGAGGTGCCTAGCAGCAGTGTGCGGGGGACCCAGGTGAACCTGAGAGGACCTAGTGTGCTGAGTGAGAGGTGCTGCGTCCTAAAGAAAGCAGGAGGAAGGTGGCAGCCTCCCCTGAGTGAGGCCTGTGGACCCATCCAGACCCTGCCTTGCCCTCCAGGTTACTTCTACAAAGATCTCAGGGGTGAATGGACTTGGGCTCCCTGCCGAGTCACAACTCAGCTCCTTGACCTTGGGACTTACGATTAACATATATTCCCAGAAGCCAGTGAGGTGGCACCCAGGTCTGCTTCCCAGAGCTGGGGCAGACCCTGGACACTGTCTTCTCAGTGCCAGTTGGAGGCTGAGGGCTTGGGCCACCGTCTACACAGCCCTATGGTAGAGCAGGTAAGTGGACAGTGCTAGGTGAGGGCTCTCCATGTGGACCGGGGGCCCCTGAACATTTCTGGGGATCTCAAGGCCGGGCCATTTTGGAGTTTGGCCCCTTTTGCCTTCTCAGCAGCCTATGCCTTCACACTCAGCAGGAGGATTTGTTGATCTTTCTCTGGGGGACATGGAATTTCTGTGATGGATGGAAACTGGGAGGGAACAAAGGCCTGAAGACATGGGGTCTGGTGCCCCAGATGCCATCCCAATAAACCAAGAAGCCCAGAGAGATTATGATAGGGTAAGGAGGGTGGTGGGGAAGATACCATGGATGCCAGTGCTTCATATATGTTATTCTATTCAATCCTCAAAACAACAGTACGTTGCTGTTTTTCAGATGAAGATACCCAGATTCAGAGATGTTAAGTGACATGCTCAAGGACACACAGCTAGAAAGAGAAAGAACCAATGTTCTAATCAGGTGTTTTTGATGCTCACTTTCTCATACTGCTAGTTTCCTGCTTCCCATCAGTGATGAAAGAATTATACCGCCTTGCACTGGTCTCCCTTGTTCTGAGAAGACCATGGTTTGTGGGAGATTCATATAGCTTTTTCCTCTCTCTCCCAGGTCTGTTCAAACGATGTACCATCAAGTCTAGAGGTCACTTGTGGACACTGATATTTTTGACACTGAAGCATCCCCATGGCTCCTTATCACATCCGCAAGTATCAGGAGAGTGACCGAACACCAGTGTTGGACTTGTTCTACAAGGGCATGATGGAGCACATCCCTGCCACCTTCTACCACACACTTAAGCTGCCCCAAACCCTCGTGTTCTTAATTGGGGTGCCCCTGTGCATACTCCTGACTTGTGGATCCTGGCTGCTGGCTCTTGTGTCCAGCTTCGCCTTCTTTGTTTTCCTGCTGCTCCTTGTCAGGTGCCCCTGGAAGCTGTATGTGGCCATATGTTTGCGCACGGACATGGCTGACATCACCAAATCCTACCTGAGTGCGTGCGACTCCTGCTTCTGGGTGGCCGAGTCTCAAGGGCAGGTGGTGGGCACTGTGTGTGCTCGGCCGGTGAAGAATCCTCCACTGGGGAAGAAGCAGTTGCAACTGTTTCACCTCTCAGTGGCAATGGAGCACCGAGGAGAAGGGATAGGGAAAGCCCTGGTCAGGACTGTCCTCCAGTTTGCCCGGGACCAGGGCTATGGTGAAGTTGTACTTGAAACCAGCATAGTGCAGTACAGTGCCCTGGCCCTCTACCTACACATAGGCTTCCAGAAGACAGACCAGTACTTCTTTTCTTTTATCACAAGGCTTATGGCTTTTCCTACAGTTCGTTTAACATACTATCTCCCAACAGCCGGGCATAGTGGTGTACTTCTGTAATCTCTCCACTCTCCAGGCTAAGGTGGGAGGATTGCTGTGAGTTTAAGGCCAGCCTGGAATCTTAGCCAGGATCCGATTGACTCAGCTGTACTAACAAGCCAGTCCTACATTTAAGTAGATAAACAATAGAATCTAATCACTGAACACATTTGAATCTAACATTTTTGAAAATGGAGTGGATGACTCTACTCCATTCTGTCTTTCTGGGTTGTCTGTATTTCCTTTGTGTAACAGCACACTAACATTGCATTAAATCTGTGAAATGCTAATACACGTGTTTCACTTATGAGCCTGTAGAGCAGCCAGCGTCTGCTGGGCTGGGCTGAGTATCTCTCCACATTTCAGGACCTTTGCAAATATCCTGGGTTGGCCGAACTCCCAGAGCCACTGGGCTTCACTGACTCAGGGGAGATCTGCCAAGAGCATTCCTGCTTGTTCAGTAAGAGAATGTGGAATTGGCGAGTGCCAGTTCTGCCACCACTGGGACACAGCATGACCCATTCCTCTGTCCCCAAATCTTGGAACTCCAAATGTGTAAGTAGCTCAGGCCTAGCTGTGTCATCCTTGAAGCCCCCAATATAAGGGTGAGTTGGGATATGAGTCTGTGCTGATGTTTGCAGGACTGTTCCCTTTTCCGAGCTGCTCCATTCCAAAACTAGAGTTTCTGTGAAGGTCTGAAGCTTCTCACTGGTCCTCCTAACACAGAGGCTGAGTTCCTGTTCATTAAAGGAGTTCCTGTCCTCTTGGCCAATAACTTGTAACACGGAGCAATACTTAACATCCCTGGTGTGTCTCCTCCTCCACTCAGGGGTCAGATGGGCCAACCCTCCTGATCCTGTGACCTTGTCACAGGATCATTTCACCTACCAGGAAAACTTTTGCTATGCTCATGTATTGATTCTCACTGTGAGTGGCTTGTTGCCAGGGCCCTGGGGCTATACAAAACCCCTTCTATGTTATTCTGGCTGGTCCTGACTTGATGGCACCTGTAGGTCCCTCTGCTAGTCTGTCCCCTCAAACCTGACTCCAATGTGCTTCTATAAACTAAACCATTCATACCCATTCACGCACCTTCCCTTCCATCCCAACCATTGTTCACATCAGATGTTAGTTGCCTTTTGAGTGCTGGTTCCAGTTTCTTACTTAGTGGTGGGCTATGGACAGCCCCTGTGTAGTGGGAAGAAGCTATGGCATCTCCCTGCTCTCCTTGGCCAGTAAGGCTGCAAGAACAGTTCTCCATGGGCATGTGGTTGGGTTGGGATATAAGGGAGGAGACCTGAATGGTTCCTGTGCGTTGCAATATTTAGTCAATCAAAGAAAATTGTTTTACTCAATCCAGAGAGAAGTAGGTACTGGTGTCAGAAACCAGAAGCACTGAGCGGCCATAAAGGATCAGAGTGTAAATTCTGTCACAGTGATGTGATGGGATAGCCTGGGCCCTGGGAAGGCCGTCCAAGGCTCCCACTCCTCACTGTTGGGTTTTGCCTCCAGGGATGGGGCCTCTGCTCCTGGAACCCAGCCTCAGCTCTGCAGCCTGGTCTTCCCCTGCTCCAGCCCCTGGACTCCCACTCAGCCAGCTGCTCTAGGTCCCTCATTCTGCTGTAAGCCTCAGAATGCTGATCCCTTAGCCTGGAATATTGATCCTGTCTCCACCCCTTCCCATTCTTTGGTGGGTTCAGCAACTGCAGTTTTTACCTAAGCGATGGTGGGGAGAACCAGATTGGAAAGATAACTTGTGAGAAGAGGAAGCACTTCATCCTGTTTGCAGTCTGGTCATCATTGGAATTTAGACCTTTGATCCTCTCAGTGTATCCATACACCTGCTACCACATTGCCAGAGTGCTTATTACAAACAAGAGTGGAAACCAAGCTTATGATGTTTCCAAGAGTAATATTAATAGTAAAGTGTTTATCCTGGACAGATTTCTTCTACAGCCACACAGGAGCAAGCTACTAGGACGAGGTGGGAAGAGGTGTCCTGAACTGGTCCAGGCTCCCAGACCTTGGTCATCACTCACAATCAGGGAGGGAGGGCCCTGGCCTGGACCTGAGATGTGGAGGAGGTCACAGAAGGGCCCCAAAGGTCAAGGGGAACCTCATAAAATGTTTACTGAGAAGGAAGAAATTCTGCCATGAGAGCTGATAAAACCTGAGGAAATCTAAGACAGGTTGTCCAGACAGACTGAAGTTCACCAGGGTTTGGGGAGAAGTGGGGAATGATGTCATGGTAGTACATGCTTCTTCTTGGGCTGATGCTAATGTTCTGGAGCTTGAAGAAGGAAGTAAGGCACAACATGGAGAATGTGGCACATGCCTTTGAGTTTTACACTTTAAAAAGGTTAACTTGAGCCAGGCGTGGTGGCGCATGCCTGTAATTCCAGCACTTGGGAGGCTGAGGCAGGAGGATTGCTGTGAGTTCGAGACCAGCCTGGGCTACATAGTGAGTTCCAGGTCAGACTCAGCTACATAGTGAGATCCTGTCTCAAAAAAGCAAAAACAAAAATAAAAATAAATAAAAAGGTTAACTATATGCTAATGTACATTTCATCTCACAAAAAGAGAGGAAAAGAATTCAGATGCTTCCAAATGCAAAAGATTGAGAGAGAGAGGAAGACGTTGATAGGTTGTCTTAGGAATACAGTGGCTGCTGCCCAGAGGCAGTGGGAGGTGCCACTTTGACCCCAGCTGTACAAGTCAGCAACAGAAGTCTGAAGGAAGAAATATTCTAGAAGTGAGGCCAGGATTCAAACCCATTTCTGTTTGACTCTAAAATCCATATTTGAGCCTATAGGAAGCTCTGCTCTCGATGTTTATCTTCTCAGTGTGGAGCATGAGGCATAGCAATTCAGGGCCTGCTGTCAGAATGTAGAACTGCCAAATAAAACTAGAATTTCTTGGAAGAGGTCAATGCCAGGCAGAGAAGGAGTTTGAAGCTTAATCTCTGTGACTTTGCAGTAAACGTGCCTCTTGCCTGTTCCTATACTGCCTGGAATACACAAACTGGTTAATTCATTTTTTTTTTTTTTTTTTTCGGGGGGTCGAACTCAGGACCATTTTTTGTACGGGGGATCGAACTCAGGACCTTGCACGTGTGAGGCAGGTGGTGGCACCACTGAGCTAAATCATCAGCCCTGGTTAAGTCTTGCTTAAATAATGCAACACACACCTTACTAGGTATAGCACTTGTTCTGATGTTTAACACATAACAGTAAAAACACAGAGCAAATAACACTGTTTTGGGGTGGGGCCACTAAAGAAATATAAAAACAAGTGTATTTATAGCACTTAGAGTGCGCTGTGAGGTTATGAGACAACAGGAAGCCAGGTAAGGGGAAAGGACTAGGCAGGTGGGATACAGGTGAGTTGCATTCTTAATGTAGTTTCATTGTTCCAGGCTGAAAAGGAGTCCTTAGCGCAAGGGCTGTAGTAGGAACCTTCCTCACCAATTTGAGAGGGTAGCCAGTAAGTCATCTTGGGGAGATAGGTAGAACTGGTTCAGGAGATTGGCTTAAAGCCTAGGGACCAGGAGATCCAGGACAAAAATGAGTCCCAAGCTGAGCGTCCTCTGGAGAGGTCTTGTCTTCCCTCCATAGCTCAGCCATACCTGTGTGCACCGAGAAGCCTTGGCCGTGAATGACAGCCACAGTGAGAGCTGTGCAACCCAGGAAGGTGAAAGATGACAAGTAGCCCTGAGCAGCATGCCCTCCACTGCTGTCTGCATGGACACTGAGGCAAGAAGGTGAGATGCTGCGTAGTCTACAGAGGAACTGGGGTGGGGAGCCTACCTGAGAAGGGAGGACGGGATGGTGGTGACTACGTCTGTAGCCCAAGTGCAGGACAGCCAGCCCTAGGATCCTAGCACAGGGGCAGCTTGTGTTCAGGTTCCCTCACAAGTCTGGACTGCAGCTGATCACAGAGACCAGATCCTTGGTGGAACTCAAGCCCCTTTTCCTGAAGAGCTTCAGGAAGAGCAGTGGCCTCTTATTCCAGGGCATGTCTGTCAGCACAAAGGAAGAAGGATAAGTCAAACAGACTACAATGAATTTCTGGAGGCAGGCAGTCAGGGTTATCAGGGTATGAACCCCTGCTCTTAGTCCCCTGTGGCTACCTGCAGTATTGAAACATTGCCTTTGGCCTGTGCCATGAATCTTGATCTAGGATTGCTCTTGAATTGCCCCCCTCACCTGAAGAGCCTGTCTGTGTACATGTGTGTGTATGTGCATGTAAGTGTTACATTGTGTGTGTAGAATGTGACCTGATGGCTAAGCCCAGAGCCATGCAGGCAGGCCACTGTCCCAGACTGAAGCTTGCAATGTTCTGGATCCCTTAGCCATCACATCCTTGAGATATACATTCATGCTAAGCAAATCTTCCCTTCCTGGAAGATCCCCAGACCCTTAGTACATCTCACCCATCATCCACAAATATCACCTCATGTGGTACAGTCCCTGAGCCTTCTTTCTGGGACCCCAACTGGTCAGGGCCCCTTTCTGAGAAATACCCGGGTAATCCTGGCCAAGCTTCCAGAAGTCAGCAGCAGCGGAGATGGGTGCACGAGGCACTGAGGAAAGGTAACTGACATGGCCTCAGGAAAGGAAATCGGAAAGACAAGTGATCTAAATTCCTCTTTCCAGATGTTGCGGAGTCCCAGGAACCTTCTAAGAACTTCTGCTAGGGCTGATCTAGATGCTGAAGGATGCAGAATGAGTGAATATTCTGTTATTGTTTTCTGTTGCAAAAATCCCCACTGAAGTCTTCTCGCTTTTAGGAAATAGAATTAGAAATAATACGTCCCCATCCTCAATCTGAAAAGACGATCTGCAGAGGTTGTGAGAAAGAATCCACCTTCATCACTGAAGAAATAGAAACCCAAGTGTGACACTCATCACGATCTGCTAGGAGATTGCAAAGATAGGAAGGCACTTCACCCTTTATCACAGCCATGCTACACCCTCCTGACAAGCAATACTCAGTCCTCAAGTAGAGCAGTCACTGGCCCATGTATCACACGTGGTCCATCTAAATTCATCCAAGATGCATATGAGGCCATGCTCTTAAGTGAAATAAGTAAGACCCACGTGTGTAAATACCGAATAGGTTCTCTGGTGTGAAAAACTAAAAGTGTGAATAAGATCCA